AAATTTTTGCAAGTCAAAGGAGATTACCAACAAAATGAAAAGACAACTCACAAATTTGGAAAAAATATTGACAAATAAGTACTCAGACAAAGGTCTACTCTCTATAATTTATAAGGAACTAAAAAACATTAGGGCCACAAAATTTAAAGACCCAATCCAGAAATAGGTATCCCAGATGAACACACACTTCTCAGAGGATGAAATTAAAGAAGAGAATAAATGTATGAAAAAGTGCTCCACATCACTAGCCATCTGTGAAAAGCAAATTAACATTGATTTATCATCTCACCCCAGAAAGAATGGCTATGATAAAGAAATCTACCAACAACAAATGTTGGAGCGGCTGTGGGGAGAAAGGAACCCTTCTCCACTGCTGGTGGGAATGTAGAGTGGTTCAATGTGTGGAGACTCCTTAAAAAACTAGGACAGGAAATCCCATTCAAGCCCACTATCCTCCTACTGGGAATTTTCCCAGGGGAACTGATAACATCATATTATAATGAAATATGTGCACTTTGTTTATAGCAGCACAATTTGTGATAACCAAATCTTGGAAACAACCAAGATGCCCATCACCTGAGGAATGGATGAAAAAGATGTAGTGTTTTTATACAATGGACTATTACTTGGCTATAAAGAAAGATAAACTCAAAGCCTTCATATTTAAGTGGATTCCACTTGAAGATAGACTCAGAAGTGAAATATATCAGACCCACATTTATAAATATTGTATAGTCTCTCTAGTATAAGGACTGAAAAGAAGAAATACAAATAGAAAGGTATAGCACAATTAAAAGGAATTTGAGGTCTTGAAGATTAGACAATGAAGAGAGAGAGCAAGGAAGAAAGCTAGGAAACATGACAGGGGCTATGTGCCCATACATTTATATGTATGAGATGGGTAAGGCAATGACCCTGAGAATCTTCAGAAGGCTTTCGAAGCCAGCAGTTAATTGGTAGCATTCTCACCCTGACTAACTATATATGCTGATACCTGTGAACTAAGCAACTGCACTGAAGAAGGTAATGTGTAACAGTAGGGTCATGCTTGGAGTGCCTGTCATTCTGGTCTTCTGATACGTGTTGCTTGTCATGACATGCCAGTTGCTGCCATGCTGTCTCTTGGGTAATGTTTGTTTAAAATTAAGGGGGTGGTGAATGAAGGCAGGAGACAAGAAAAGAGGTGTTATGGGACTATCCTGCTACAATGCTGTAATGGTTAGATTTCTAAATTTATGTGTAAAAATATGTAATTGTTTATTGTTATTTTTAAAAAAATAGTTTAATT